CCTAATTGTCAGACGAGAGAAGCATGTAGTAGTAACCCTTGCCAGAACGGGGGAACCTGTCGACCGGTGAATGGAAATGGTTATCAATGTGTTTGTCCTCCTGGTTTTTCTGGCATCAATTGCGAAATTCGTACGTATTTTCTCATTATACGTATTTAGTAAGACTGTCGTGTGCTAGTTTTATTGAATGACGCATTTGATGGGTGCTGATTATCGTTGCTTTTGAATATTTTGTTTTACAGGTGATGTTTGCATTCCGAATCCATGTTTGAATGGAGGGCAGTGTGTGCCTAATGGTGTGGCTGGCTTCGTGTGCCGATGTCCTGAAGGCTTTACAGGGAATCGGTGTGAAGATCGTGATGTTTGTAATCCAAATCCTTGTAGAAATGGTGGTGTTTGTGTATCAAATGGTAATGGATCTTATCAATGTCAGTGTAAGACAGGATATCAGGGTGTAAATTGTGATCAAATTGATATATGTGGTGTTAAAAATCCGTGTATCTGTGGAACATGTCAGAATGATCCGTATAATGCTCAAGGTTTTCGATGTTTTTGTCCTCCTGGATACAGTGGTGATCGATGCGAGAAGCTATTGAATTGTTTGGATCAAGGGCAAGAGTGTATAAATGGTGGTGAATGTATTCAGCGACCTTTAGGTGATTATATCTGCAGCTGTTCACATCCTTATTGTGGTTTGAGATGTGAATCACAGCGGCCAACATGTAAGTATTCCGCAACGAATATCTAACTTGATTATATTGAAGTTTATTATTTTAGGCACTACCGTAGTCCCTTATACTCAGTTAAATGCCGGAAACTGTGCACCGAGTATTTGTAATAATCGGGGTATATGTCAACAGAATGCATACAGCGCTACGTGTTATTGTTCAACAGGATGGTCCGGAAGTCGATGTCAATATAGTAAGTAATATTTTTAAATATTTTTAGAGAAAGATGTTGGTAAATTTGAAATATTTTAAAAACTCTTATGTAAAGACGATAATGTAAGGCGCACCAAATTCAAATTTCCTACAACATTTATTTGTCGGAGTCAGCGTCGAAAACCGGGTTGACGCAGAATATGATACTTTTATTGCATAAAAAGTGAGTTCTGGTGGAGAGAATTACGGGCACAACTCCGATTTTTTTGCTCCTGATTTAGAAAAAGTGAAATTTTTCAGCAATGGAGAGAAATTTCAAAAAACGCAGAATATACTTTTAAAGCTCATTTAATGGCGGTTCTAATGAAATAAAAAGGTCGGCTTCACCTCTTCACACAAAAAACTAGACTGATTTGCAAAACTATTTAGGAAAGAACTCGCCACAAGATGAGGCCATTCTCTTTTTTCACAACAACTGCGAACGAGTTGTAAAGCGTTCATTTGTAATTAAGGAAAAGGCACCCAAAATCTGTTGGAAATTTAGCGCCTTTTTCCTTATTTACAAATGCACGATTCACAACTCGTTCGAAGTTATTGTGAAAAAAGAGAGAACGGTCTCATCTTGTGAAGGGGTCTTTTTCTATAAGTCTATGTCCTTCACGAAAAAACAGCGTTTAAAATCAGGTCTCCAGTTAAAGATTTTAAGAGATCTTTCGCCGACTAAAATTACTCAAAAATATTTTTCTGAAATGCACCTGATCTATGCAGTTTCTTTCCTCTATCGAATGGCGTATTTGGATTAGGCTTTTACTAAGTTCTTGATTGAAAAATTCAATTTTTTTAAATCTTGAGAGAACATTTCTAAAGTTTTATTTTAGAGCTCTAGAAAGGTCTTTTCTCAATCATTTGTTTGTCAACGTGAAGCGCATTAAATTCTCTTTCGAACGATATAAAAATAAAAGGTTTATCTATTGGAGAAATGTCTAGAAAGGTAAAGACAAGCAAGTCTATGGCTATGTATTCGGTTCTCAAAACACGACTGATTTTAAAAGTTCTTTGCATACCAAGAACCCACCCATGTGAACTATGCCTTGTAAGACCTTGAGAGATCTGATGTTTTCTTGTGAAATCTTGTAATAAGATCGTATGATATGATCTTACAAGTCCTTTTTATAAGATAATGTAAGATCTTCCAAGATCTGATTATAAGAAGTGACAAGATCGTGTAAGATCTTATATAACCTTGTGACAAGAAGATATATACCTAGGTCAAAGAATCTTACCATAAGATCTTATAAGATTCTTGTATGCTTCCGTCTGATTACATAAGATTCGTATAAGAATTTGTAAGATTTTGTAAGAAACATAGAAACTGATTCATGGTGTAAGATCTTATAGTAATATTTCATTTTTCGTAAGATTCTTGTATGATTTTTATAAGATTTTATAAGATGAATCCGTTTCTATGATTTTCCGTAAGATTTTATAAGATCGTGTAAGATCTTGATCTGATTTCCTGACCTGAGTATAGAGAGATTCGACAGGAAATGATAATCAAGATATAAATAAAATCTTGTGATTTCTTATAAGGCCGTATAATTTCTTATAGCTTCTCTCTTTAAGATCTTATAAGAACATACAAGATCTTGTAAGTTCCTATCATAAGAAAAATCTTGTAAAATCTTATAAGAACCTTGCTACAAGGTGCCATATGAGATCTTGTAAAATCTTATAGAAAATTGATAAGAATTTATAAGATCTGTTGAAATCTTGTGGTTTCTTATCATATAGTCCTCGTATAATATATAAAGATCGTATGAGATCTTGTTATCTGACTCTTGGATCTGGGCAATTTGAAAATGTGTACTTAGGTCCAAATGTAGTATAGATTGCACTCGATAAAACAATAATTTCCTTAGCAACTTTCTTCCGTGAGAAAATGCGTTCGCAAAGTTTTTTCTTCTACTGCACGATCAATTTTTCGGGGCACTGTAGATGATATTATAGTATGTGGGATTAGTGGAGCATTATTTTAAAACGTTTGGCTGTTTCGATGTAACTAATAACTGAGCGATATATCTGTGTGTAATTATCTTTATCTAGCAGGATCGAAAGTGTCAGAAGCGACAGTGTCGGTGGTTCGTGTTTGAGGCAGAGTTAAACCTCTGGTTGTTGTATAATCCGCTTATCTAATTATAACATAACTGTAACTCACGTATTTACTCCGAAAGAGAGATTTTACAGATAAATCGTTTACTGGAAAAGTAAAAATATCTTCTTTCTCCCCTTTATTCGTTGTATTGAGAACTATTCTTTGATTAGTGGAAAAAGATTTGCTTTTCAATATCAACCTGAAAGATCTTGCTGATGACTGAGCTTCGATGAAATGTCGAAGGGTGAAAATCACTATCATGTAATGATTGACCAGTCTATCCCGACGTATGTTTTTGTTTAATATTTGCTTATTGATAATGTTGATAAAAATAAACAGTCGCTCACGTCTCGTTATCTGATTATTTCCTCATGCAAACAAAAGTTCATACTAGCTCGGAATGAAAAATAGAAACCCTCTCCCCAATCTTGGAAGTCTTGGACCAGCTCTGTATAGTGTGTCCTGTATACAAGACATATACAAGGGACTTTATAATGGATCAATGAATGAAATAATGCATAGACTCGATCTTATAATTTCTTTTTCTTGTAGGTATGAGGTCGAACATTGGTCGAACAGATGTGTCATTAAACAGAAATAAGCATGTATCATTACTCACATCTACTCAAAAACTATTTCGACTTCAAAGAACTTGAAATTTATTGTTGTTGATCGTTTAAAAGTTAAAGCTGATTAAAATGAGAATAGTTTTTCTGTTTTTAATGTATCTATAAATTTGTTCTGATAGACATTAACCGTTTTTTTGTTCATTTATGTTTGTTTATTCTTCTTTTTGACTTTCTGACAAGAACAGTATCGAATCAGTACTGTTTTATTTTTTTTGTATTTTTTCTTTTTATCTTTTGATGTTATTCCTCCATTTATAAATAGACTTGAATAAAAGCTATTTCCATTTATTTCGTAAAAGAAACTTTAAATAATATGACGATTAATTTCCATAGAAAATAACATATAAAGTTAATGAACACAAAGATCTCCTACAAAAAAACATATAGAGTTAGGATGTCAAACGTTTGTCCAAACGTCTGCTACGAATGAGAATCGAAATATTTGAGTCCAAATATCGTTCCATTTCTATCACACGGGTTTCTTGCGATCCATCACTATTGAAATATCCATATTCTTTAAGAATACGAAATACTGTAATATGTTATGAGGAAAATAGAGATGACGTACATAGTCGAGAAACGAATAGAATACTGATGTTTGAAATGCGGATGTACTAGAAAAAAGTAATACTTATCTTTTATCGTTCTTTACAGGTAAATATACATATAAAAAAAAATTTTCTCGTAAATATATACTGAACTGTATGAGACTCATCACGCATAATGAGTTCTATGTTCGAGAAAGGATCCCAATGTGTGTCGTTATATATACTTGAGCGTAGAGTAATAAACTGATGACAGTTAAATAGTCGTTTTTTGTCCATTAATTAAGCGGTGAAAAACAAAAAAAAAATTTAAACGGAGTGATTCTCATGAAAAATGACTCAAGGAAAGAGTTATGACTTTATTCCCTACCACACACACCAATTTGTCACTCGACCGTTCCGATTGAGTTGCTGTAGTCTAACTAAATGTTGTTACAGTTTCGATAAGCATAGTAAAAATATTTGCTGATCCTCAAGCATGAGCAACATACTGATATTCTATTGAATAACGCTGGAGCCACATATTCAACTCATTCATTAACGGTTGATGGGTTTGACAATCAGTTCGGTACAAATCATTTAGGTCATTTTTGTCTCATAAAACTTTTTTTATCTTTATTAATTCGATCGAAAGTAAGAATTGTGAATGTTAGTAGTATTGGTCATTATTTCGTTAGTAAGAATGGTATTGATTATGCATTCCCATCAACAAACTATTAGCCAATAATTGCTTATGCACAATCAAAATTAGCTCAAATATGGCATGCATCCGAGTTACAACAACAAACAGTAAGAGATAACGGCATATTCTCTACATCCAGGCACAATCACAACGAACTTATTACGTGAAACACCAATAATACTAAAATTTTTATTTTTGAATGCTTACTTTATTTGTGGAAAATCAGTCAATCAAGGCATACAAACAAAGTTTATATTGTTGTTTATCAGATGATACCATACCTGATGGATTTCATGGAGACTGTAAACAAGCAGAAGCAAGTCCGTTAGCTTCCGATAAAAAAATAGCGGAACATGTTGGAATTTTAGTGAAAAATAAATTGAAGATAAAGCAGCACAATAAATGATGATCTTTTTGTAATCTTTCAGTCATATGTACACTCAATCTAGTTACAACTTGTTGATTGTGTGTATAATTAATACTCAGTCTGTAAAAGAATACAATTTTAATGGTCTGTTTTATTGCATCATTTCGTTAGTGAGTGTTATAAGAAATTCATTGACATCGTGTGAATGCTTTACAAAAAAACGTAAACGTACTTTCAAAATGATGAGAGCAAAGCATACTTTTATCACACAACGAATGGTATCGAACGGTATACTAAAAACGTTCCAACAGCGCGCTTCTGCTTACTGCATGTAGCAAATGTACTGACAGCACGGTAAAAGTATGCCAATGACATGCTCAAAAAGAATGCTAGTTGATTTTTTACTGTTCCATGCGCTCATAATGTCGACAGACATTATGAGCTTTTGCAGGGAATTTTGTTGATTTTCTGTATGATTAGTTTTTTCTGCGAAATATGAATGCAATGATCCAATGAGCCACACATTGTAGAAAAGTTTTGAAAACACGAATGTATTCTAGACACTGAAGATTGACCATTGATTGTTCGTTTATTACAAACTGATTTGAAATCAGTGTCATAAGGTCCAAAAGTGGAAGAAACAAGTATTGATCTAACGGCCAAGGAAAAAAAGTGCTTCCTTTCGTGATTTTCAGACGTTTTTTTTCGGCAGTTTTTCTTTGCCTTACATACATTGCAAAAGACTAGTAATCAATAATTATCCATTCAAAATAAAATTTGAGCTTGGTTTCGTCTAAATGCACTTAGACTGTATTAGTGATTTGAATAAGTGCACACATACTGCA